TATGTGCTTATGACTTTTCTTACAGTGGAGCACACAAAAAAGCATGTGATATATCGGTCTCTGTTCCTACAGGGCTTACTGTATGGTAGGGATCAAGATGCAGACTCAAGGATGTCTCAGCCAGTGGATTCAGAGGAGGACTTGGGTTTTCCTGCTGAGCACATTGGCTGCCTTAAATAGAAGAGGAGACAGATGGGAAGATGCAGCAGATGGGCAGCACTTGGGGCAGCAAGCGGAGAGGTGGGAGTCCTGGATTGCATCCCAGGCTCAGCCAGTTTCCGGCTGCATGACCTGCTCACCTTGCTCCCCATAGCGGGCCCATATGCCAGAGGAGGAGGGCACACCCCGCAGCAGCTCTCAGCCCTGGCTGCAGGTCGGATTAGACACAGATGATTGTGTAATTGTTCTGGAGTGGAGCCTGGGCACTGATATTTTTTCATAATTTTCCCTGGATGTTTTTTCAATTAACTTTATTAAGAAAGCTCTATCACGCAGCTCACCAATTTAAAGTGTACAATTCAATATTTTTTTTTTTTAGTATTTTCACAAAGTTGTGCAAACCATGGCTACAATCTAATTTTGAAACATTTTCCTTCCACCTAAAAAAAACTCAGTACCACTCACAGTCACTCCCTGCTCATTTCCTCCCACCCTCCCGAGTCCTAGGTAACCAGTGATCTGCTTTCGGTCTGTTCTAAACATGTCATATAAATGGAATCATACCACAAGTGGCCTTTTGTGTCTGGGTTCTTTCATGTAGAATAGTCTTGTGGCTAGCTAATTTCCCATTGTATAGATATACCATATTTTGTTTATTCTCCAATTAGTAGATATGTAGGCTCTATCTGCCTTTTGGTGATATGAACTATGCAACTGTGAACATTTGTGTACAAGTCTTTGCCTGGACATGTTTTCATTCTCTTGGGTTTCTGTCTAGGAGTGGGATTATTCTTTGGGGGAACTACCAGGCTGTTTTCCATACTGGCTGTACCATCTGCATTCCATCCGGCAGTACACAGGGACTCCGCTAGTGATCTGATCTGATTTCGTCCAGAGCTTAAAGTCACTAAGCTGAAGAATATCTTTTGGGCTCCACTTCTAAAATTGCATGATTTCCTATCCAAGATGAGATCCCCTGGGCTGATCCCCAAAGCCCAGGCCTCCTAGAACTTGGTGGAGCTGTGGAATGTATGGCTTCTCAGTGCACCCTGGTCACTCAATCTTCTTCGTGAGAGGAACCCTATGTTCCAGCTTGGGACCCTCCCTCTGTCCTTGCCCTGAACTGGTCACATTCTGGAAATACTATGGTTCAGCAAGTAGCACATTTTGTTTGAGTGCATGTGTTGGGCAGGCTGAGATTCCAGGGTCAGGGTGGGGAAAGGCTCTGGTTGGAGTATGGGATTAAGCGGGGCTGGAAGAGTCCCTGCCACCCATTGGTTTTGCAGAGATGCACCCACCCAATCCCGGTAATGAAGTCCCCTAGCACACAGGCGCAGTGGTAGCATTAGCTTCTCATAAATTGGAGGCAAAATGGGAGCCAGGGCTTCCCCTAAGAAAAGGGAAGAGAGGACATTAGACCAAGTTTAATTCTCACTATGCATTTACTAATAGGTACTATTACTCATCTTCCCTAAGTCCCAGGGTCAGTATGGCATCGGCAGTATCCTTGCAGGATAGCTTGAAAATAAAACACTAAAATGTCTCGTATAGTGGGTAAGCCTATATCAGCCCCATCTTCTATGCCGCTTTCCTTCTCTTCTGTCTGCTTACAGAAGTAGAATCTGAAGCTTTCATATCCCTCCTCTGCCACCCACTCTGAAACCAGGACCTGGGCCCTCTTCTCCAGAATGCAGAAACTTTCTGAGCTTCAGTCTCTGGCGACAGTGGACCTGAGCTGACCTAATCCCCTGAGCCTTACTCAGTGCTCCTATGGCTCATGGGCTGCTTCGCTCTTGGGCCTTCTAGTGTGGGCTTGAGCTTCTACAGCTAGCAGGGCAGATGTACTACCTCTTAGACCCACTTATCTCATAGCATTCTGTGAAGAGCATTCTGAGGAGCCATGAGAAATTTCCTTGGTGGGCACACAGCCTTCCAAAGCTCCACGTTAGAATCTTCATGATGTCCCCGTGTGTACAAGCTGAGATCACTCCAGGCCACTCTACTGCCTGCTTGGGAATCTCTGCATTTCTAGAGACCCTTTCCACGGCCAGGTTCCTGAGTCTAGCTTCAGACAGCTTCTGTGACCTTCACCTGGTTCTCTTCCCATTTGCCTCTTTCTTAGTCTCATCTTTAAGTAGCTGTAAAATGAAAGTCACACATGTATATCTTATTTGCCATATTATTAAATGTAATTTACTGTCTGAAAATAGGAATATATCTGTACAGTATGTCTGTCTATAATTATATGTTACTCTGTCACTTTACTCTGGGTTTCCTTGGAATAAGAAAAAAAAATCACATGCTTTTAACTTAGAAAGTCCATGATGTTACAGGTATCAAGTCTGTGGCAGGCAGGCATGGCGAATCAATCACTGCCCTGAGCCAGGCACAACCTCAGAACCCTCCTCCATCTTGCACTCTGGATGGAGACTGAGGATCAATCGGAGCTGGCATCCGAGATAGTGTCTATTTGCCATCATTTTGAACTATTACTCACAGCTTTCCAAGAGCTCTTCCAGCCTCGGGCGCATGCCAGATCTGTGCTACAAGCCATCTTTCCCCTTGGACTGTGGACTCTCACACTCATCGCAACCCATCTGCAGCTCGGTCATGTCAAGAAGCCTTCACTCTCCACCTCCTTTTTTCTGTTAATGACATTTCATAAACATGTGCCTTGTGCTCTAGTCTAAAAATCTTGGAGTTATCTGACCCCTCTCCCATCCCCATGTTCTCCTTTTCCCCCATCCAGCCAGTCCCCCTGTCCTGTCCCTCTCTTCCTTTCAGTGTTTTTCTAACCTGTCCCTCCTGCCTAGAAAAGTTTAGTCAGTGGCCATGCAGGCCTGTAATAGGCTCACAGCAGTGAGAAAGAGAGGAGGGGAAGAAGAGCCTCCGGAGGTCCTTTGCCCTGGCAAAGGGCATTTTGTCTGAGCTCCCTGTCTCTGCTCCTCCACAAGTCAAATGTTATTTTTTAAACATATTTGAGAGACGGGAAAATAATGTTAACAGGCTTTGGAGTCCACAGAACGGCTATGAAATCTCAGCTTCCTCCTTCCTTCCCTCGACCCTTCCTCCCTCCCTTCCTTCTTCCCTTCCTTCCTCAAATACTTATGGAGCACCTAGTATGTATCCAGCAAAAGTCTGATCAATCTATAAAAAGTGAATATTTTAGGCAAAATATCTAGCACAGAGCCTGAAGCACAGCCAAATAAATAGTTCAGAGAAAGGATGACCCTCAAATCTAGAAATGTGCCCAGCAGTTTCCTAGCTGACTTTGTGGTCCAGAGAGGAAGTGAGGTCCAGTGTGATTGACCAAGATTTTGCTGCAAGGCTGGGCAGAGTGAGACCAGAGTGCTGGTGTTTCGGCTCCAACTCAGTCTCCCTGTCTAATCCCCTGAGCCTTACCCAGGGCTCCTATGGCTCATGGGCTGCTTTGCTCTTGGACCTTCTAGTGTGGGCTTGAGCTTCTACAGCTAGCAGGGCAGATGTACTACCTCTTAGACCCACTTATCTCATAGCATTCTGTGAAGAGCATTCTGAGGAATCCGCGGAGAGCAATCACAAGGGCAATCTCCATGGGCAGGGTGGGTAGGCTCCTGGATATGCCTCAGGTGGGAAAGGTGAGGATGGAGCATATCCCACTTTTTACACACACACACACACACACACACACACACACACACACAAGCATGTACATGAACACACATGCACAGTGTAAGACTGTCCATGGGCAAAGGGCGAATCAGAGATACAGCTCTTGAAGCAGCTTGGGGACAGGCAGTGCCTTTTCTTCTCTAGTCTGCCCTGTCCTGCTTCTGCATCAGTCTTCTGGGTACCTCCTTCCCAGTGTCCCCAAGTGAGAGGCCCACAAAACCTGCTGACGTTACTTTGGGACAACCCCAGAGAGCAGCTGGCACCCTTTCCATGGTGCTTCGTGGCCCACACGAGAACCTGGCACATTCAGCTTTCCGTGGCCAGTCCTGGTTTATCGTTTCATGCTGTCCTCCTGCTATGCACCTCTTCATACCCTCTCTTCAGGCCTCCTGCAATTCTAACCACTGTTCTTTGCGCCTGTTTGCCTTTTCTACCTGAAATTGCACACCCTTGAAAAAAACAAAACAAAACACCTCAAGAACAGACACTGATGTAGAGCACGTGGAGTTATGAATGGGAGAAATCCAACTACACCAATCAGTCAATGCATTCTACAAACCTTATGAAATCAAAAAGCTTGGTGGCAGTGTTAGCTTCAGGTGTGGCTAGGCACTCAGATGATACCACTAGTTTTTTTCTCTTATATCTACTTTAACCTCTGCTCATCTTTTCTGTCTCTCGACATTGGTCCTATCCCCACAGACACTACTTCTTTATGTCCAGAGAAGTTGGTCACCAGAAGCCTCAATTTATACCATCCTAATAGCCGCAATCAGCTTATTCACTGTGCCAGTGGGATTAAGAGGTGTACCAGTAATCTTAACAGGGGCTTTCTGTTTGTTGGGATGGACAGAAATTTCTCATTTGTAATGGGATCTTATCACAATATGGCTTAAATTATTTATTATTATTTTAATTTTTCCTCCCATTTAGAGAATTTTGTTTTAAAAAATGGAAATTATTTTATTCCATTTTAAAGACAGGAATTTTTAAGGTACAAGGTGTAATGTCCCTGATATATTCAAGTTGTCATTTTTCTTTCTTTGCATACTGCCCATGATCCTGTATTTTAAATAGGGATCTGTTTATTGAACTAAGCTCTCGGTGTTGGATACTTAGGGGACATCTTTGTGCACCAGGACCACGGAGACACTGTGCGTTCCTAAATCCCGACTTTGTCGCCACCACAGCTACCCACTCCCCTCCCCAGTGCTCAGCCCCTCGGACCGGCTGCCCTTTGGCATCGAGGAGAATGGGGGCGCACCGTTCCCCCCGAAAGCTTCAGGAAGGCGCCACCACCAGCATCATCACCACACCAGTTATGGCCTCTCGCTGACCCTGGAAAACAAGGAGGGGCCTCTGAGGTCCCCAAACTCCAGCAGCAAGTCCCTTACAAGTGAGTCGGGAGGAGGGGGCAGCCCGAGGTCGGGGTGCACTCCCACAAGAAAAGAGTGGTTTCCCTAGAACACAGGAAAGACCCTGCCTGGGCAGCTCAGAGGGATGGGGATGTTGTGCTGGTTACCAGGTTTGTACAAGAGTAGACAAGAGCTGATGCATTTAGGCAGGCATGATCTAGAAATTACAGATTTCCAGCAGGCCCTGTGTCAACTGTCAGGGTAACAGTCCCCTCCCCACCTCATATCTCAGCAGCATGGAAAAGAGAAAGAGGGAAGACAGTTAGTGGTTGGAGTTTCTGCTATCCTAATAGGAGCAAAACGTGTTCTGTCCCCTTTCTGACATCCGCTCGTGAGTGTAAGGTGGCATCGAGTAGAGCAGGTCGGCTCGCAGTATGGTCTCAGTAAGAAGCTGCAGGAATAGAGTCAACAGAACCATGAGCAATGAGATTGAGTGCCGTGGGCTCAAGTGCCCAAGCTGGGCTTGAGTTTTGTATGTGTGATTTTACTTTAGAAACTCACCTTGTTTTCATTTTACCCAAGAACTTGTCTGTGATAGAACTGGTTCCTTGTCACATGTGGTTTGAGAAGCCCTGAGACAGAGGAAAGGGGAAGGGGCCCTGATCCCAGTTCTTACTGTGCAGCCAAGTGTCCTCTCTGATCCTGGAGTTTTTCATCTGTGCATAGAATAGAGGGAGGGTGTCAAAGTGATTGCCAACTAATCTTCCAGGGCCGGCACTGAATGCATCTCCGCTGGTGAAACAGGGTGAGCTATTCAGCCATCACCTGTAGACGATGGGCAACAACTCTGAGGTGGCTGAACCAAAAAACAGTAACTCATAGCCCACTTGATATAAAGAATCTGAACTCTACATCCTCATCTTTGCCCAGGGTGCCCTTGCTGGGTCCCTGCCACATCTTTCGTATCGGAATATTTTTCCTGGCCTCATACTGGGGCACCTGCTCCTGTGTAGTCTGCCTCCAAAAGCCGTCAAGTCAGCTCTCGCACAGTGCTCTGGCCAGGTGCCTTCTGGCCTTCGATAGTTCTTCACTGTCCTGGTGAAAGCCCACACTTCCGAATGTGACCCCATGTAGACATCAGGACCTGGCTGCTGCCGTGGCCCCCAGCCCCCACTCCGCTAAGCACCCTCTAGCTACACAGAACTATTGTCCCCCACCACCTCCTGTGCTGGTCCCAGCTCTGTCCTTCCCAATTGCTGTTCCCTGTGTCTGGAATGCTTTTTTTCTGCCCCAGTGAGCTCCTATACCCCGCTCAGGAGCCAGCTTACATGTTATCAGTGAAGCAGTCCACAGTACCCCACCACCATTCCAGGAGCTGGACTTCTTGCTTGCTTGCTCCTGTACAATTAAAAGGATTCTCACTTTTTATTTGGAATATTTGTGTGTGCACCTGCATGCCCTTTACACTGGAATTGTGTCACATTCACCTCTTTATTCTGCTCCCCCAGATCCCAACTGCAAACAATACTTAGCATAAATTTTGTTATGTAATAAATATTTAATATTTAATGTGTATTAATGAGTCAATGCAAGCAACAGAGAGGAACGCTGGCAAACTAATCCAAAGTAATACAAAAATCAAAATCAATGGATTTTATTTTAGAAATATAACATGGCTTTTAAGAGCCTGTTTATGTGCCAATTAGCCTGAACATTAATCTTCCCAGTTTTCACAGTACTGTTCCATATTCACAGCCTTTGTAGAGGAATAACCTCACTTAATATTTGCAGCAGCTCTGGAAGATAAGTATTTTATTTTTATATTAAAACAGCTCAGAAGCTCAGAGAGGTAGAGCAACTTACCCAGGGCCACGCAGGTCACAGATGGGAGAGTTAGGCCTTGAGAACTTGATCTCAGATAGCCTCATACCCAATCAAAGCTGGACGAGCAAAGGCAGGCAGAAAATGTGCTGGGGTCAGACCCTGGCCATAAGGGTGTTCCCATATTTCCTGTATCTGTCTGCCTTTTCAATCTTTCTGTATTCATTTCCCCTGGCCACTTTGTAGAACTGAGTCCAGCAGCGCCTCCCCTGTTCAGCGAGGCTGCTGCCCATCTGAAGAAGCTGGAACTAGAGACGGTGAAAGCTGCTGGACCCTGGCCTGCTCTTCATATCAACATAAATAAGGTACTAAGGGCTGGGTGCCTCAAGGAGCACAGACGTGGTGCTCATGACAAACCTGTGATTACCTCCCCAGCCTGCCTCCTAATCCATGTACCTGTGTCCAGGAGGAATTTATCCTCCACTTTTAAAATATTTCTTTACCAGTTATCTTCTAGGAGCAAAATTTTACTTCCCTTCTTGTTTGTGAATTGCATCAGTAAGCATTGCCCAGTACCTCACATGCCCCCTGGACTGATCTTCTTTCTCTTGGTCTCTTGGCTTTCAACTTTTCTTCCACAACACACATGATCAGTGGTTTGAATGGGGGCTTAGTCAGATTGTGACAAAATCCAAAGGTACTCTGTAAGGAAGTACACAGCGCAATGTGCAGCAAAGCACTCAAGCTCTATAGTAGTCTGCAGTTGCCATGACTACTGGTAGGACAATGAGGGTAGTGGCTTGCTTGGGTGATGACATACCTGAGGCAACTGTAGTGATGGAGCATTTTCCCAGAGCTCATGCTGTGGCTTCTCTCCTTCCTCCACTCTAAGAAATACATAAAGGGATTGAGGGTGTCTCTCAGTGCTGCACACTGCTGGGCTCAGTCCCCAGCAAGTAAGCTGCAATGATGTGATTATACATGGGACTTTGACTCTGTCCTAAAACATAAGCAAATGATTCTCTATCACTAATAAAGCATTTCTTGAACAGGTATCACCAGGTATCAATGATGCCACAGTTGGGAACCACTGGCTTACGTGACTTTGAAAGTTTTTTTTCCCAGTCTTAAGGATGGAGCATCCTCTGATTCTTCTAAAGTTTACATAACCTCTTGTTCTTAATTAAAAGACAAAAAATCGTGTTCGCAACCCAATTCCAAAGTTGTACCCAAAATTGTCACAGGAATTGAAGTCTTATCAGATTTTAAGTGTATTAACAATTTGTATCAACAGTCTAAATATGCATGTGCTCATTTCTTTATCCCCAAATGATATCGTCAAACAGATGGCCCCATTCCAACTATCATAATATCAAAGCCCAATTTTCATTTGTTTGTATGTTTTTAAACCTGTATTTCCATACTGAATGATAACGTAAATTTTCAAAGTTCAAATTGAACATAAAATATAAAATATGGTCATTCAAAAGGCTAAAAGCACATTCTTGGGGCTATCCTTCAAGCTGGAACTCTGGCCTTGTAATCTCCCAGGGTTGCCTTTTAAACAATCAAGTAAGAAAATTCATCCAATGATGCACCAATTTTCCCAAATTTATATTGGTCGTTACCTGAGTCATTTCATATCACTGAACATTATTGTCCTTGCTTTGTCCAGATGGAACAGGAATAAGCCAGCTTGAATTTCATGTCCAAAAAATCAGTTTAGAATTACTAAATTCAGGGGAAAGAAAATCAATGCTGAATGGGCATTCTTTTCTTATTTTAGTAGCATTCCATTTTTTAAAGTAGGATTCTGGTCATTACTGTCAGTATAAACTACATCCCCTTAAGCACTTGTCAAAAACTTCGAATGGGCTTTATAACTAATTTAATTCCTATACCGCAGCATATTACTCCAAAGAAATTAAGCCTATTTAAAAATTAACTCTTCATACATCAATAAAAACATCTTTCAAGTATGGAACAAATATTTAAATGACTTATAAACATGAGATGAAATCCACCTTTCACAATAAATAAGTTATAGTTAGTAGTCGCCTAAAGGAAAAAAATTAAGTCCGTCAGGATAGTGGATCTGGTCAAAAGAGCCCGTGCTTTCAGCTCAGCTTGGTGACTTAACACCATTAGTATCCTTATATCTGATATAAATTTTGTTATATTTTCTTTTCTAACCAAAGAATGTAGCATGAAAGTGCTATTCATATTTTTTCTCACTTGAATATCCTAAAAATCTTGTGACGAAGGAAACAGTCATTAAGGGCAGCCAGTATGGTTGAATGGTAAAGAGCTCTTTGGCTTGGGACTCAACTAAAATCACTATTCCTGGTTATGAAATTTACCTTCTCTGTGTTTTTGGGCAAGTGACTGCCCATCTCCACTTTGTTTTTCTCATCTGTAAAATGGAGATTATAATATTCTCTCCAGATCATAATAACCTTTCATTTTTTATTAAAATAGGGATAATAATATATATACCTCCAAATAGGATGGAGAAATGAGCGGATTTAGTGAGACGTGCATATGAAACATATGGTCAGTAGCCGGCCCACAGGAAGCTCAAAGTAAATGTTAACCAGTAGGGACTGGCTCGTGCTAGGCAAAAGCTCTACCACTGAGTTACACCCCCAACCCTTTTAGTTTGTTTTGAGAGAGGGTCTTACTAAGTTGTCCAACCTGGCCTCTGATAGCTGGATTGGGCGTGTGCTATCACTTCCAGCTTTGTTTTTATCATCATCACCTTATTTTTTCAATATTGAGGCTCAAACCCAACATCCCCAGCCAGCCCTCCACCTTTTAAAAATAACGCTAGTAAGGGAAAGCTGAGTTTAAAAGCCAGGTCTTCTGCTTGTCTGTTTGGTGTGATATGAACTTGCTGAGCTCTGTTTGCTCTGCCAAATGCTCCTCCATGTGTTTGAAGACCCACTGGGAAACTATATTCCATGTCTTCCTTTCTTTATTAAATGGTGTAGCTAGCCAATTTCCCTATATTTCCTCTATGGCTTTCATAATAGTCCTACGGTGGGGACTATGCTAAGATGCTCAATAGGACTTTTGTTTTAATGAATAAGATTAATTTTAGAACTTGAAGAACTTGAGGGCTTTAGAAGATTTTATTCTTGTCCTAGTACATGGTGGGCATGCTACATTCCATCCTGATATTACTGAATTAACTTCTAGCAATCATGTAGGCTTATGCCTTTCTTATTAAACACATATCTCTTCTGATCATAACTATATATTGTCATAATCATCTCAGTAGATGTTTATTGGATCCTTACTCTACATCAGGCACCATATTTACACTGGGATATGCAGTGACCACAGTAGTACACTTAGCAATAAGTCATTATTTCCCCAAAGTGGCATGTGTGTCATCAAAGATGATTTCAGTTTACACACATGGAAAATATTTTAATAGCTATGTAAATATCATAATATCTATTATAATAAATATAATAACTACAGAGCTTATAATTTCAAAGATATTGCTTTGAACATGACTGAAATAGGAATATGTTGTCCCAGGTTAATCCTCTTTAATTAGATCATATGAATTTTAGGTACCTGTTCAATTAACACACAGAAGATAGTAAAAATAGTGAAGATGGCACCAAATTGCTGAAGTCTAAGACATTATCTATAATAAGGTAACAAGGACCAGGGGTATAGCGCAGTGGTAGAGCACATGCTTAGCATGCTGGGTTCAATTCCCAGCAAAATAAATAAATAACAAATACAAATTCCTTGTTGAGAGTCACAGTTCTGAGCAAGATTTATTGTAAAAATATCAATGAATACTTTGCAGTCTTTCCTTTGATCCTTCAGGTTACAGAATTGGGTCTGTGTCAGAGATGGCGGTTATGGGGGAAATAGCCCTGGATTGGGTGTAAGGTAGTTGCAGGTTGAATCTTGGTTCTGCTACTGACTCTTGCTGCAAGATTCTGCAACCCTTCCTCTCTTAACCTTCAACTCCTGATGCATCACCTCACAGCTTCATGAGAGGATGGAATGATGCCCTTGTGCATCCTCTGAAGTATACAGCACAGGCACAGAGCTAAGGAGCTGGTGGCACACTTGCCTATATCTTTAGATCTATGAGTTATTTACAGTTGTAATTGTTGGGGAAAGTTAATATGTGTGTTTTCTTTTTTTAATTGTTTACCATCTGTTGCCTATCTTTTGCTTCATTTCAGGCTGAAGAAAAGAAAGTTGCAGAGAAGACACTGCAGACCCCGCTGCTACCTTCCCCGGTGGCGGACCATGTGAAATGTAACATCCTGAAAGCACAGCTGGAGAATGCTTCCCGGGCCAGTGCCCAGGTATGCAGCCTAGTTGTTCTGTCTCCACCTTACAGAGCTCCCTTGATGCCCAAAGAAGGACTGGGCACTTGGTCTGTGGGGCCAGATCTAGAGATGGGAGCTCACCTTGGTATGTAAGCCAAAGTCTTCATATGAAGAATTGACTGGGATATAGTTGTTAACTAGGGACGTGAAAGAGCAGAGAGACAATTGGATAGCAGTGGTTCTCACACATTAGTATGCACAGAAGTGCATGGAAAATCTGGCACATTGGCAGAGACCAGCAGTTCATCATGGGGCTGATGAATCTTCATTTTCACCTGCTCACAGGATGCCACTGTAGGTGACATTACTCTAAAAGACCCACAGTAGCAACCGCAGGAAGTACTTCTCATCTGTACAGCTGAGGGAACAATGATGCCCTGAATATTAAAATGTTGTCAGAGAAAAAGCACTGTGTACATGGAGCTTAGACTGCTGAGCAAGGGGCCCTGTGGTGGCACTGGTGTTTCTGAGCCCGAGTACCCCACATGGCCTGGCCAAACACTTGGAAGAGGGGCATCAGCTGGCTAGTGCTGTCTGAGGTGGACATAGTGAAACTGGATCTGCCAGATGTTGGAAATCGGTAAACCAGATCAACTGGAAGGAACTGTCACTGCCTGGGTGAAGAAGCCAGACTGACACCCACGAACAAGAAGCAGATAGAAAGGAGTAGGTCTGTTCCCACTAGAGCCCCCTATCGATGGGTGCTGGCATGAGGCCAGCTGGCAAAGCATTTGCTGAGTTCTCAGCCCCACAACCTTCCAGATGTCCCGAGGGTGAATTTGGAGATGAGAAGTGATAGTCAGTAATTACCATAAATTCTCTCACTTGGCACCCATAACAGATACTACTGGTTTTTTAAGTAGTGACCACTACACTCTCCCTGCAAACCTAAATACAGTCTCAGAATCACTTTCCTTTTCTTTTTTTTTTTTTTAAGAGTAGGAAAGATTGAGAGAATAATAGCACCTGAGAGACAAGTGGGAACATAAAAGTGCATTGCCACAGAGCCCCTTTTTCAGGACTAATTTATACAGCAAAGTCAATGTGGGTACCATGTGGGTCAAACTATAATCAACCAATAGGATTACAAGTATAGCTACTTAGCCAATATTGATCCGATAGGGAAGCGGATCACATAGCAAGGGTACATGAAAAGAGCAAAGGCATTTTGGGGAAGGGATGGGTCCAGATGCTCTGGTCCCCCACCTGGGTGACAGATGTCTCTTTGAACTTAATGGATCGAGTGGTACCAATCACAATATAATCCCAAATTTTCATTCATCCCATAGGGAAATATGCAAGTCTGGCCATTGTGATTTTAATGTCAAGACCTTGCCTTCTTCAGATGCGCCTCCAGCCACAGTTCTGATGTGTTCTCATCTCTTTTACTGACTCCCTTCAGAGCCTATCCCTGTCTTCTGACCACCTATTAATTTCTACCCAATTTAGCTGTCTGTCATATTCCCCTCTCTGAAGAGCTATCTCTAACTGTAGTTAGCAGAGAATGGGCAAAGTTCAGAGTCATTTTCTATAGTGTTCCAGGGAGAAAACGCAAGTCCATTAAAGATGGCACTCAAATAGAAAGCCTTTCGCCGTTTTGCCCATTTTGCAAACCATATATATAAAGCTGCATTGTCCATGAGTCCATTAGAAAAATATATAACTATCTTTGGTCCCTACGAACCTAGTATTGTGCTTATGTTGCTGTGGAAATACTTATATTATAACGTCTACTTATGTATGTAGCAACCTGAATAATTTCAGTCCTCCCAGAACATACTCTGAAAAACAAGAGGAGGCTTTCACAATTTCTTCCATTTGGGGGTTGTGATGTAAACAGGAAGCAGTAAAGTGTGGCACACAAGTTTGAACATTAGACAGTCTGAGTTTGAATCATGATCTACCATTTATCAGCCATTTCACCTTACACTTGCTTGCTAAACTCTCTGAGTCTTGGTTTTCTCATATGCAAATGGCTATGACGGTTTATAACACTTCTAAGTTCTTGTGAAGATTAAATAAGGCAATCTAGATTAAAGTACCCAGCACAATCCATTGCTCTGCTCTTGCGGAGATATGTGCAATATTGATTACAGATATAGTGTGATAAAGTCAATAGGCACTGACTTTTTTTGCAAATAATGGTAGTAGCACTTTTTACCTGATGCTCAGATTCACTTCTTACTGCAAACTCGGTCAGATCAAAGTTATAGTCTCAATTCTCTGTCTTACTTCTACTCGCTTCATTATTTTGAAGTGTGCCATTTTGCCACTGTCATGGAACAGACAAACCTGAAATACGACATCACCCTCTACAAAGTCATTATCCACACTAGGAAGCTTTATCATGTTCTCAGTGCCCATGCTGCTTGCCTCACTTATAGAGGACCTGGATTTCTGCTTCAGTGCAGAAGTACAGTGTATTGGAAACACTTCATTTCTTAAAGTATTGAAAAAGATGAGGGCTAGGTACAGAGAAGGGAAAATGTCCTGGCCAAACAGATGTAGTGGGTGGGCCCCAAGTAGGAAAGGAGAAGAGAGCTCATGATTCAGAGCATTGTTTCCCAAGATTGTACAAGAACCATGAGTACCACCGGATGCTCGCTGATCATTTTGGAAATGCTGCTCACTGAACTTCCTAAACAGGAAGGAGTAGGTCTGTTAGCTGCACATTAGCTTTTTATAGGCTCTGAGAAGTCCACAGGAAAGAAAGCTGTTTTACTTTCCTCCACACCTCAATTGGCTGCAGAACTCTTTGTAGAATAACTCCCACTGTCATCTGTAAAATAGTGTTAATGGGACACAGAAATATGTTTTGGGACTCCCTGATTTAGGATAGGCTTTTGGGGGTTGGGGGATTGATTTTGCAGTAAGAGATTGAACCCAGGAATTTTCACATACTAGGGAAGCACTCTTACCACTGAGCTACATCCCCAGCTCCACCTTAAACTTGTGATCCTCCTACGTCAGCCTCCTGAGTAGCTGGGATAACAGGCGTAAGCCACAGAGCCCAGTTGCTGGTTTAGTGCTTTGAGGGCTTGTGTTAGAAAAGCATTGGTGCACTGACAGGAATTTAAGTGTTAATCCCCTGTTGACCTGGATGCAGAAGCCCAACAATGTTCTCCATTATTCCTGGCTCTAGAAAAGGCTCAGAAAGCAGGGCCAGTCCTTATGTGGGCAAGCACAGTAGGCTAACAATGCAGTGCCCACCAAATCAGTACGCTTGAAGTCTTTGCTCAACACGTACCTAGAACAGAGACCAAGCTCTGCGCATTGCAACGTAGGTGTGAGGGTCACAGACTACTGTGTTTCCCAGTGGCCACCAGTGTGTGTTCTGCTGGCCTGGCTGGCTGACTGGGTGTCTCCCACCACCCCCGACATTCTTTGGTACTCACCAGAGGGAGGAAGACAAGGCTTCTATCAAAATTGAATGATGTAATTCCTCCCAAGCTTGTTATGCTGATGTGAAAGGACAGATTCCAAATTCTTTTGTAAACTGTAAGTACACTGTGAGCATGGAGCTGATTATTATTCTTGATCTAAAATGTGAGTGAGGGATTAAGCTGTGGGCTTTTCTTTTCCCACACCATCCTTTTCACATTCAAATGCAAGCTGGCTCATAGCAGATGCTTATTAAAAATATGAATACAAAAATTGATTACATTTAGATGATTGTATCTTAATTTCCTTAATGGGGAATGACTCAAGGAAACATTTTTTGATAATTTACATAAATACCGGGACAAGATTTACTATTACCTGAATACTTGATGAAAGACTTCTTGGTCCACCTTCACATTTCTGTATCCTTTGAATATAAGTGACTTGGAAATGTTTTTTTCATGCCAAATGCTCACTTTTTACTCATCCAACTGTTTTTTTTTTTTAACAGATAGGAAAGGAGGAATCAGCATTTGTAAATACCAATAAGAAGTCAAGTCTTCAGGATGCTAATGTAAGGTCTGTTGCTTCTTGTTTGAATGGGGAAACAATACTCTGAGTTGTCACCGTTATCCTCAGAACATTGCGCATGAAGGAATGGGCTGATAACATCACAGGAAAAATGAAACCAAATGAGAGCCCAAAGATATCATCCTAAAGGACTTCCTTTAATCCTCAAAAATGTTGCTTAGCCTCAGTTTTAATATCGCTCCTGCTGTACTGCTCAGCACTTTGGGGTGTCTCTCGAGCATGTCCCTCTGACTGTGTGCTCCTGCAAGAAGTCTTTCAAAGACTCAGAACTGAATCTCTTCCCAGCCCAGCCTCAGCTTGTTGCTCCTTCCTCAGCCCATGTGGCCCTCATGCTAAACTCCTTGCCAGGACTGGAACCACACATGCTCATGAAAGTTTCCAGGTCACTCCTCCTCCACCCCAAACCCAAAGGAAACCCTTCCTCCCCGGTCACATAGGCAGCAGAAACTCCCCTTGCCCTGGTCCAAGTGGGAGATTATGGCCATCCTATTTGCCACCTTCAGGGACTATAAACCCCCGCAGAGACTCCCAAAGGTAACATTTCCCCAAGGACCAGAGCATCAGCATCTCCTGTTAAAAACATAGGCTTTTTGTTCCACTGTAGACCTCTCAGATTGTGCGGGGTGGGTAGGGGGGTGGGGGCGTGCAGGTGAGGATGGGGATCTGCATTTTAATAAGTACCCCCAGGGGATCTAGATCCACTGCCCTTGGGAATTCTTACACTCAATGTCCAAAAGAAAAGCTAACATTTATCTGTGTCATCTTAAAAGTCCCAGTCTATGTTCCTGGTTTAAATTTGTCTTCCACTAGAGACATACACCTCCCTGGACTGTCATAAAACTTCATGAAGACTGGGGTTTTGGCTCAGCAGTAAGGCATTTGCTTAGCATGCACAAGGTCCTGGACTCCATCTCTAGCACTAAAAGGAAAAACAGAGAGGTGGTGCTGGGGAGAAGGAAGGAAGATGGTGGGGGGGGCTTATTAATCTCTAAGCCGCCATGCTTCACATGTTTTCCAGTTTTGGCAAATGACATTATTACCTATTTCTTACCTGGGACTGAAACCTGGGAGCCCTTGTTTTCTCTTGCCTTGTCCCCTCCCCTTACCTAATTAATGACCACATCTGTTCAATCATCTCCCACACCCATCCTCTCTTTTTTGGGGCCATAATCCTTGCCTACTCCCAGCCTGTATTATCTTTCTTCCTGGATTGCTGCTGAAACCCTCCTTTAAGGTGCTCCTGGTCTTCTCTCACCAATGCCCTCTTCATTTCTCTGAGGACCTTTCTAAAGTACAGATCTGATGTGCCACCTGTCTAAAACCTTTAGAGATGTTGCCTTCCGTGTAAACTTAGTGACCTGGTGACCTGGTGACCTGGTGACCTGACCCCCGCTTTCCCTCCTGTCCCAAGCCCTTGCTCTTTCTCTGGGACCTTCCCACCCACAGTTCTGGTGCCCAGCCCTCAGCCAGGTCAACACTCGTCTCCCGGCCTGGAGATGTTCCCTCCACCTAGTTAAGAGTGGATTCTGCCACGAAGCTTTCCCACAGGTCAGCCCCTCCACCCAGGCACAGTTATGTTTCTCTGTGAGACCCAGTCCTTGCAGGGAGTTTCCCCTAGGCTCCCTCCCTGCCTGAGGGAACCGAAAGTGAGGCCCCACCCTTAACTCCCATTCTTTATTTGCCCATTCCTGTATTTATGCAACAAACACTTATGAGGCACAAGCCACACACTTATCACACAATTAGGCAATGAATAGAAGAGAAAACGGAGGCCTAGAAGTGTTCATTGACTTGCCAGGGGTCCTTTGCTGAGGGCCTTAACTTGTTTAGATGCCCCTTTGGTGCTGGAAGCTAATTACTGGGTTTTAAAAATGAAATTAGTCATAACCACTATAAACATGTTAAAGCTTTACCTTAACATCCCCATTTTGTGTAGGGCCCATTAGTTATCAGGCATAAATGATTGAGGAAAGGTAAAAATGAGATTTAGTTTTTAACATTTATACATGTAGACAGAATTAAAATATAGAGCAAGTCCTAAAGGCCTTCTGTTATGCATTTTTCACATGACATATACTATGGTTCTTCATTTCTTTAAAAATGTATTCTGTGCTATGTTTCAAATAGCGTGAACACCAAGTTATTGGGGGGCAAAAACCAAGTTATCCACAGTGTTCTCGTCATTCATTTTACTGGCAGAACCTGGTGGTGAACCAAACTGTTATATTATGGATGGGTGGGTGAGTGACTATTTGGGATAGAGCAATTTTATTTGGTACCCCAATTATATTTAGTTCCCCACTTGCTATATTTTCTTCGCTTGATTTTTGTTTGTTTATTTTTTTTTATTTTGGATGCCCCAGTCTTTTCAAAATAATTATGATTATTAAAATAAGTAGAGTGGAATAGCAAAAAATATTGATTTCTTGACTATCAAGGTTACTAAGGTATAAATTACTGAAAAAACGGTCTGTGTTGCCAAAACGAGACTAAACTTTCTTGTTGGTGTCGTCCCGTTATTTTCTATGTCCCTAGGAGTCCTATCCCTATTCGTGTGGAAACTGCCCAGCCAGCTATGGAAAAGCCAGAAATCAAGCCTCCCCGAGTGAGGAAGTTAACAAGACAATATAGTTTGTGAGTTCTGTACTGCAAGTTTTTAAATTTTGACAACTACAGTGATGCTATATAATTTGGTTCTAATTTCGTAGCTCTTCAAACCGTTGCCAGAGAGCCATCCCCCAAATTCCCTTTATTTCCAATGTAGGGCATGATGGGCCCAGACCTTTTTCCTTGAAAACACTGCATAGTTGACATGTGTACTCCTTGCTGATTGACAGGTAGCATGCTGCTCCAAAACTGTCCACTCTTATCACCTCCCAGTTGCTGGAGGTCGGCAGCTTGGCATGGCTTACTGGGTCTTCTATGTCAGAGTCTCTTACAAGACTGTGTTCCAGGTGTCACCAAGGGCTGTAGTCCCGTCTGAAACTTTATTCGTGCAGTTACTATTCTTCAAGGCTGCTGGACCAAAGTCACCCTCAGTTAGTAGTTACCTAGACCTGTCTGGCTTTCTCTATCAGAGAAAACCTATGAAAAGAGCCAGAGAAGAGTCATAGTCTTTTGTAACCTAAACACAGCCATGACATCCATTACTTTCGCCATATTTGGTTCATGAGAAGCAAGTAACAAAGTCTAGTTCATACTCAAGAGGAAGAACTCATGAGAGCATGAATACTAGCACCAGGGTCTCTCAAGGGATAGCAAAGGCTACCTTCCATGGCATATTAGTATAATGGTAGCGTGGCCATCGACAGAGCCAAAGCTAACCACAGAGCGATGTATGAGACCAGTGACCATCCAGGTCTGCTCAGCTTATTTTCACAAAAGTCTCCTGGCCTTCAGGAACACGGAACTGTTTTAGGCACCGTCAGGGAATAGCGAAGTGACACAATTTCCATCCAAAAGATTCACAGTATATTGTAGGCAACAACAGAGTTGTAGATAGTTACAATCCCAAGAAGACAGATAAGTGCCATAGTGAAGGTGGTGGTAGTATTAGTCATAGTTGTAGTACTGATCGCAAGGACAGTTCCCATTTCTTGACCTGGGCTATGGCCCTGGCACTGAGCCCCAGTGGGTAATTGGTCAGAGAGCTGTAGGGGGATCTCTGGACACGGAGGGCTCTTGGACAGGCTTCTATGAGAGCCATGACTTGTTTATAACTCTTGGGAAATTTATTCTTTGAGCTGTTCTTTCCCCATCTATAAAATGGGTGATAGCAGTCATCTACCTCTGAGGAATTTTATGAGAGTTAATATGTGACAGTGTGGGTAAAGTTCCTGGTAGGGGACTTGGCCACAGAATGTGCTCCTCTTCTTCCTTCTCTAGGACCTGGAAGTTCCTGAGAAAAGGTCAAGTTTTGGGGGGTCCCAGGGTACAAAATACAGGACAGGGACTGTATGGCCAGTTGCAGTTCTGAAGCTGTCACCTCAGACCTGCCGTTCACCCCTTGTGAAAGGAGGAAAGGTCATGTGTGGAGTCCTAAGGGGCAGACACATCCCACCTCATTGCCTTTAACTTCCAGACAGGAAAGTGGGTACATTTCTTAGAAAAGTCAAAATGAATAGATTCAAATAAGTAAGAATCCTAATGATCTCTGGGGAACAAATTAAACCATGAAAATCTGCCTCCTCATGGACAAGGCTGGCAGGATTTGCTTTTTTTATATTTTGAAGCTTAAAATGTTATTATCACCCTTTTGGGATATGTGATCAGTTTGAAATAATGATAAACTTATAGATGGCCTGGAAGGAAAGAAAATTTCAGTCACCAAATTGGCTCTTTTAAGAAAACCTCTTTCAAACTTCTCACTTAAATGTGTTTCTTAAGCTGTCTCCAAATATTCTGCTTTGAAAAAATCAAAGAATGATAGCATTTTCCCATTAGTAGAAAATAGACAAATTAATAGATAGGATTTTTGTAGCACTGACCTCTCTGAGGGAGGTCAAAATTCCCCTTCTTCCACACATCCAAGTCCTGGAGATAATCCCATGATGCCAGGTCAGACTTCTCCCTCATGGTGACTTCCTGTCTAATGTCATTTTGTTCGTGGGTCATATAATTTTGTCAGGGAGTTTCTAAGACAAGAGCTATTTGGTCCCAAAACAGATTGGCCCGACTCTTTCCTTGTAATCAATTTATCATACTCAAGGAACAGCTGCTGTTAGGCCACAAAAGGGGCCATTATAACCTTTGGTCAAAACAGTGAGTTCTTAAGAGCCTTGTATTTACTAGCCTAAGAAAAGCCACTCAAAATAATATCCTTTGATTTGGAGGTTCCACAAAAAGTTAAACATACTATTACCATAGGACCCAGCAACTGTATAGACTCTGAGGTAAAATTTCAATCTGAAAGACTTGAAATCAGACAGCCAAATAAATATTTGTCCATCCATGTTTCTAACAGCATTATTCACAATAGCCAAAAAGGTGAAGGCAACCTAAGTGTCTATCAGCAGGTGAATGGATAAGAAATAGGAGATATCCATAACTTGAATATTTTTCACCATAAAAAAGCAATGGAATTTTGATATATGCCACAACATGGTTGGTCCTGGAAACGTCATTGTGGATGAAATGAACCAGACCCAGAAGGACATATTTTGAATGATTCCATTTCTATGAAGCACCTGAAATAGCCAAATTAATGGAGATATAAAGGAAATGTTGTTACCAGAGGCTATGGAGGGTGGCCATGGACTATATTGTTCAATAACGATATATATGTAGTTTGTGCTGGGGGTGCTGAAAGGTTTGGGGTTATATAGTGGTGATGGTTTTACAGTGTGATGAATGTATTTAATACTACTGAACTGTTATATATACTTTACCACAATTGCAGAACATAAACCCTGGCAAGTGGTAGAAAATCCACCCCAAATGTGCTTTAGAAGAAAGCCGGTGTATTGGACATCTGGTAGACATCTGTTGGAGAAGCCCCAACCCTGCTCCGACCTCCCTTCCTCCCCAGCCCCGCTGCATGCCCCACAGCATGTGTATAATTGTAATGAGCAGAGCTTCATGTGCTTTTAGTAACCGCAGTGATGAAGACGACCTGCCCCCAGACCTGGCTGAGGCAGTGGGAGCAACCACAGCCACCACCACCAACACCACGACAGCTGCCACACACGTTGCAGTGCCACTGGCATCCCCCAAAGTCCAGAAAGTCAGCTCACCTCAGAAGTCAGAAGGCAAGGGCCAGCAGTCCCCGGGGGCCAAGGTATGGAACAAAACTTGGAGGAGTAGCTGTCCATGCTGGGAATACACTGTCCACTTAGTGAGTAGCACTGAGTGTGTGTATTTGAATTTTGCATAAACAATTATATGCATTCATTAAAAAAAACCAGCAAAACATATTTTCATGTATCCTGTTCCCAGAATATAAGCCAACTGTTTGCAAAAGGTATAGTATGATATAAAGCCAGATACATTGTACTTTAAGAACAGTGTAAGGGATTCTTGAGGGCAATTTTGATTTAGAATAGCATCCTATATAAGCTGTTACTCCTCTGTAAAGGTAGAAAAGGATAAACGACACCTTGTATACACACATACACTCCATAATAGACAATTTAGAGGAATAAAAACCCAGACATGTCCCTATCTCACTCCTTATATAAGATAAGCTGCATTAGTAGTTTGAAAGTGGAAATATTAATATTTGATAGTTTAGAATTTCGGGAAATTGCCAGAGATGTGAATGGGTGGTGATAAGGGCCTCACATAAGACTTTTTTTTTTTTTTTTTTTTTTTTTTTTTTT